AAAAGTAACAGTCTAAATTTAGTTTTACCTGCTTTTTGACTCTGACAAGTGTTTGTAAAGTTCAAGTAACCCTCTAGACATATTTTTCTCCCCAAGTTCCATTGTTCTGCTGATCTTTTAAAAACCAATGCCACCAGTTCAGCCTACGCTGACTAAATGCTCTGTGTCTGAGCAAAGAATTGCGGTGAAAACATCTCAGTTTCAAGTTAATAGCGAGCAAGTACTATTAGGGAGAGATGAGTCCAATGTTCAAAGTTCAGAGTCAGAAAAAAACAGAGGGAGATTTCACATCTCAGGCTCTGGCTATACAAATAAATCTGATATTCCTCAAAATTTGGAATATTTAGGTCTGTGGTCCTGGTTCAGTCCCCTTTGAAATATTATTGGTCTAATTCCACCCTGCTTGCACTAAAGCTGAGGAACTAGGGAAGAGTGGAATTTACCCATCTATGGGCCTTTTGGGTCACAAATGTACAGATCCAACAGCTCAATTTCCAACCTGGACACATCCTGCTCCACAGGCCTTTTAGCAGTGATTATTTGTGTAGAGGACACTTGAGTGTAAGCTCCACTCACTTCCCCTTTCCAACATAAAGCCACACAAAAGTATGTAGTGAATTATATCTGGTAAAATATAGGCATAGTGGAAATTTATATGTATGAAATCTAATTTTTAAAAATCCCCGTTAATTTACTTAGTGTAAATTCATGGCTGATGGGAACTAGTGAATTGAAAATACTGTAGCTCTTTTCCCTTCTCTAACTATACAGGAGAGACTCCTGTACTTAAATGAAGACCATCCTTTTATACCATAGTATCTGTAGTAATAGTATAAGCAAAGCATAAACCCTTTGCATGATGATGAAAAGGAGAATTGAAATGCAATTGAAATACATGAGACTTTCCTATGACTGAAGAAGATTTGCTGATCATTGGACTATCTGCTTGTCATAGCTATGGTGTGGTTATGACTGTAGTATCCAGGTACCATGCTAGGCTGAAGGGATATGTGGAATATTGTATTAATATGTACAAGTGGAAGCTCTGCCTTTTCACAAGGTTTCTTTAACTCTGAAACTAGCAAGGAATAACATGCAGGGTTTCCAGAACTCCACTATCTTAGCCAAAGTGGGATGTGTGTGCTAAATATGTTATTTTGATTCTGGCTTTAAGTTCAGCTTTCCCTTCTTTGCTTAGAGAGCATCTTTCTTTGTCAGTACTAGCCCCATGTAGCATTTAGAAAACAAAAGAAAATCAACTTCCAAAAAACAAAACAAACACATAAAACCAAATATTGCAGATCTAGAAATTATTTTCATGGGTCCTGTATTACCTGTATTACACAGTTACTATGATCTCTGGCTTTCATTTCATGAGGAAAAATGACTAGTGTTTCATGCATAGTCATACATTTTTACACCTCATAAAACTAAGATTTAATCACAGGTAGTTTTAGTAACAGTCATGGACATGTCACCAGACAGAATTTTTTGTTTAATGCCTGGGACCTATCCATGATTTGTATGATATACCCCTGACTAAGGGCTTGTCTACATTGCCACTGCACTGTGCTGTAACTTTCTTGCTCAGGGAAAAAAGACACCCAACCCCTTCCAAGCACAAGAAAAGCTACAGCACAGAGAAGGTGAGATAAGATCAAAACCAGGGAGAACACAGAAAAATAAACTCTTTTGAGAACAGTAGCATGGAGTCCTAGGAGCAGACAAGGAGGTGGGGCATTAGGATAGAGAAACAACTCAAAGTATCTTATAGGACAGAAGCAGCATACATAGAGTCAAGCAGTGTAAGGACAATGGAATTAGTGGCTGCCATGACAATTTCAGATGCTGTAATTACTGATAAAACAACGTGGCCAAAATGGATACACCATACTGAGCAGTACCATGTGGCATCAGAACATGCGAACAAGAGCAAAGAACATCAAATTAATGTCCTCATGTTTAATGTACAATCAGTGGGATGAATATGAAATAATAAAGGAACTGTTCACTGCCTATTTCATTGGGAATCCTGAGCTACTCCTACAGATGCATGCACCGAGAATCCAGCAGAATCCTAGTTCCAATGCCACACCGTTTTCATCAATAGTCCCAAGGGAGAATTTAATAACTACTAAGAAAGACTTGAAAGTAGGGAACGAGGGGGAGCCTCTCCTTTGGCAAAAAGGGCCATAATGGACATGATTACAGAGTTGCAATCCCTGATTGTGACAGTGCTGACAGAGACAGTGCTGAAAGACAGTGACAGTGACAGTGTGACAGTGGCAGTGCTGAAAGACAGAGACAGTGACAGTGTGACAGTGACAGTGCTGAAAGAGATGAAGAAGAAACACAGAAAAGGGAGAATTCCACAGCAGGTCGGACAAAAGAGGTGCCAATGGCTATTTGTGGAAGTATTGGAAAAAAAGGCAAAAACAAATTAGAGAAAGAGATGCAGATGACAGTCATGACTATGGAGCAGCAGATATTGGTGTGCAGTACTGGTCAGAATGAAGTTTCTGCTCCTCTGTTGCCACATCCTACTGAGGAGAAGCTCAATGAAGATTATAGCTCATTATTGGATAAATCGGCAAGTTTAGCATGTCAGGGCTTTGATGCCAGCCGTACTACAGATGAACCTTCATATTCAGAACCACAGAAAAGTGAATTTAGGAATTCTCGTAGTCAAGCATCTATTCATGATGGAAGATACCACTTGAGCTACTTCCAGCTGACAATATTTGATAGTTATTACTGAGCTGTATCGTGTACAGTGCCGTTTTAAAATGCTTTGAGAGGATGGGATGGTGACCTTGAACATGGCTATTGCTGGAATGGGAATCTGGTTTGCCTGCATGTCTGGATCTATACTCCACATGGTCCACAATGAAACACAACGAATCATCTCCAGGACACTGACATTGCCATTCCTGTGTTAAACACGTCCTCAGGACAGCAATGTGATTCTGTGACAGATCTACTGTGCCATGGAACATATTCTTTGGAACAAATCTAGATATTTCAGTAGCACTACCAATTCTTTATTAGCAGAGAATTCCAAGAGGAATTGGAATGGACTGGTATTCATTTATGAACATAATGACTAAGTCAAATTCCTTATAATGGCTACAGCTATAATCAACAAAATCTAGAAACAGTCTGCCCTCTAATTCAGGACTTAAAGATAATGTCCAAAAATTGTCCTGTATAATGAAAGACCAAGTTCTCCTGAGTAACAGTAATGGCAGTGCAATTGAGCTAGGAGTTTCTCTAGGCATCTATGACACAAAGAAGGAACTATCCTCATCATTTTCGACCGAATGGATCAAATTCCATAGCACATAGGTATCACAGCATGAACTGCCCTTTAATGGGGCTTGGGGCTCAGCCACACTGGTGACAGATGTAACTTGCCTCCCCATCTGGAGGGAATGAAACAGCACAAGGGTCTTGTAACTAGGAATCAGGTCTGTTGGGAGATAGGATAGACCGTGGTCATTCAGGGAGAATGGACCTGGTAGTGATGTACCAATAAAGAGCAAGCAGTGAGCCAGGGAGGAGGCCAATCTGAGCATACAGGAAAAGATCTGGGAAAGGAAAGACAGAAGTACAGGGCTCAGCTGTTTAGAGTCTCAGGGATGGGAACCCATAGCAAAGGACTGGCATGGATTCCCCGCATACAGCTGTCTTCCTAGGTGGTACAGCCATCCCTGCCAACAATGGGATGGAAATGAAGGAGCTCAGGTGAGCAGGAAGATGAGACGTATGGAAGGCCAACAGACTGGTGTGAAACAGGATAGACCTTGTGAGGAAGGCTCTGCCCAGCGTGATGCTGGGACAAAAGATCTGGGACAGCCTTGTGATTAACTCCAGAAGCAATGGGCTTTTGAGACTTAGCCAAGGGAAACAGAAGCAGAGGATAGGCCCAAAGCCAAATTGCATAGATATCTTATAGAACAGGCCTGAGCACAGTATCATTTGAGCTTTTAAAGGGTCAAAATATCTCTAAGAATAATGAAAACTAATTGGCTGCGTCTAGACTGGCATGATTTTGCGCAAATACTTCTAACGGAAAAGTTTTTCCATTAAAAGTATTTGCGCAAGAGAACGTCTATACTGGCACGTGCCTTTGTGCAAAAGATTTGCTTTTGCGCAAAAGCATCCGTGCCAGTGTAGACGCTCTCTTGCGCAAGAAAGCTCTGATGGCCATTTTAGCCATCGGGCTTTCTTGCGCAAGAAATTAACTTGGCTGTCTACACTGGCCCTCTTGTGCAAGAATATTTGCGCAAAAGGGTTTATCCCTGAGTGGGAGTGTCGGAGTATTTGAGCAAGAACTACTGATTTTGTACAGTACAAAGTCAGTGTTCTTGCGCAAATACTCGCAGCCAGTGTAGACAGGCGGGCAAA